AGACTGAAGTAGTTTTGGGTGGACCCCTTTAAACTGGCAAAGTTTCATTGAAATCGGTGAGATGGCTTGTGCCACCCCCGCCTGGTCCTATCGTGGATGCACTCTTAAATAAACTAAATTTTAGATCTATGTCTTCTAAATCTCTTTTAATTAATGATCTGATGACGGATCATCACATTGACTTAGTGTGTCTGACTGAAACAGGGCTGCAGCATGAAGAATATGTTAGTCTAAATGAATCAATTTCCCCCCAGTCATATTAATGTTCATATACCTCGAAGTACAGGCAGAGGAGGAGGAGTGGCAGCAATCTTCCACTTAAACTTATTAATCAACCAGAGACCAAAACTTAGTTAATTTGTTTGAAAGTCTTCGTCTTATTCTCACACACTTAAACTGGAAAGCACAAAAATCGGTTCTGTTAGTTGTAGTATATCGGCCACCATAGTTTTTGTGGAGCCTTGTGTTCCTTTAGCTCTCAGCAGTGAAGACTTTATGACCTTCTTCACTGATAAAGTTTTGAATATTAGACAAGAAATCATTAATATGTCTTTAGGTGCAGCAGCTCTGGAAGCATCCATAGGACTAGATTTATATTTGGATTGTTTCTCTGCTGTAAATCCCTCAGAGCTTACTTCGATAGTAAATTCATCTAAACCAGCAACATGTCTGGTTGACTGCATCCCAACGAGATTGTTCAAGGGAATCTTTCCTTTAATTAATACAACAACATCAAATATCATCAGCATCTTTATATGAACAGGCTACAGACTAATTTCTCCTAAATGCAGGACTGAATGTAGCAGGAGGTCCTTCCTGCCGGCTGCCATCAGACTCTATAATGTGCAATAAAACCACATGGCTGCATAACTATGTCACTTTATGTACCGACACTTTATGTACATACATTTTAAAATCCCATCTTTTTCACAGTCTCATTTTGCACACTTGGTACTATTTATTTATCTTATTTTTATCTTAGATTGTATTTTTTGTTTTGTTTTATATTTTTTGTGTGCCTTCAATGTTGGGTGTCTTGTGGGGTTGTCTGTGTTTTGTCTTTTAATGTAGCTGCTGTAACAAGTAATTTCCTGTAAAAGGATCAATAAAGTATCTATCTATCTATCTATC